TCACAAAATCTTGGCCACGGGTATGTGGGCAAAAATTCCACAGTAGAAGCCGTTTTTACCATAGATTTTTTGCCCAAATACCAGAGCATTTCTGTGACACTGCAATCACCAGCAACATAGCCTAGACCTGCTCCCTGCTCCTGGTAAGTACTCCCACCCCCCTCCTGGTTGCCTGGCAACCCTATCTGCATAGTACAAGGAAGTCCCAGAGTGAATCTTTGTCAGAGGGGCATCTTGGCAGTCCTGATTGGGCAAGATGTGGAAGGTTGCAGAGCTCTGGGGAAAAGAGCATGGCTGAATGAGATTGTATGTATTGCTTCTGGGCCAACCCAACTTTTCCCTGTCTCCTCTTCAACTGCTCTGGAGCAAAGGGGAATGAGAAGCAAACTTGCTATGGAGGCATAGTGCATGAAGTGGCTATTTGCACCCTGAAAGAGGAAGTCTAGGGATGGGAACACCTGCAGGTTATGCTGTGGAAGCAGCCCTGACCCTACTCACTGGCCCTCTCTGCCTCTCCATGCCTCTGCTCCTTGGAGCCCTCCATGAAGGAAAGCAGGGAAGGGCCCTGAAGGCCAAGGGTGCTGAAAGGCGGGGAGAGCTGTTGAAAGCAATCTGTATGTGTGGCTGTGTATGTGTCTTTGCACCAAGAAATAGAAGACTGAGGAAAGGCATTGACTGAGGATTATACCATTGAAGGAGCCCCCTCCTTCTCACTGTCTCTGCCTCTGCCTGTTGCCCTTCTGCCTCTCAGGTGCCTTGCCATTAGGAAAACAGGAAAAGCCATTGAGAAGCAGTGATATTAGTAATGGAATGGAATTTAATGGTAGTGCGAATGGTACAAAATGTGGTTGACACCTTAAGTTGTTCAAAACGTCTGTTTATGAACATTTCCTTGCTATTAAAAATGAGCAATGTTGTAAGACGTTTTGCATTTGTGCAGTGATAGCATTTTGCATGGCCAGTGGCCAAGCAACAGCTGATTACCCATGCTTGATTACTATCATTATTATGGAATGCCTCTTTTGAAAGCTGCTACGTTAGGTTGTGTGTGATGCTTCTGGGCCCACGCAGCATTACCCCATCTCCTCTTCCACAGCAAGGAACCTTTTCTGTGTGTGTGTGTACCTCTGCAGATGAGAAGCCATGGTCAATTTCACTTTCAGTGTCTTGCCTCAAAGTTGCACTGATAGGGTATAGTGCATTCCCAGAGTATCGAAAAGGAAACTGATTAAGGCTTTCAGCTGCTTTTGACTTTCAAAGATGCTGGTCACAAATTTGCAAGCAAATTGCAATCTGAACAAAGAGGCAATCAAGCATTCTTGGTGTGATTGCCCTGTGATTTGTATCATGATCCACAGGCTGGATTCTGTGCCCTCTCTTTATTATTTATTTGGATAATTTTGACTCACTTTCTTCAAAATGTGTTTACAGAATAAATGTTTTAAAATAGCTTGGATCCTGCCAAACTTTTCTGCTAGTGGCAGGATTTCCATCCACAGTGTACAGCTTCCTCACCTCCTCTTCCCACTGCCTCTCCAAATGCCCCCTGGATTACAATTTGGAGGATAGGGAAGCTCCTGGGACACCCAGGGACAGCATGAGGGGGCATCAGAGGTCTGCATCAGGAATGGGGAGTCAGCAAAGATTCCCCCCTTCTGTCAGCAGAAATCCTCTGTGAGACCCAAACGAATAATACAATTATATTTGAAAATAACCAACATCAAATCAATCAGCAGTATTACCATCCTATGATTATACAGCATCATCATTAGAAATCAAAAGCCAGCAACAGTGAAGGTCAGATATATCTACTCATGAAAGAATTAAATAAACAGACCCATTCAATTGAAATAAAAATTGCCAGATCCAGCACTCTGCAGATGTTCAGAAGGAAGTTGCTTCCAGAAAAGGGGAATCATGATGGAAAAAACCTCTCAGAATTGGCTGCCATACTGATTTTATTAAAAAATCAAGAGCAGATTGTCCTGCAGATATTCATTAACAAGAGGGAACATAGAAGAAATTCCCATTGTATTCAATGCCTTACTCCTGGAAAAGTGTTCTTAAGAGTGAAGACTTTCCATATTAATATTATATTATTCTGTATTGAACAGTCTGAAGAACAAGTGATACAGCATACACTAATGTAACTAAATGCTTCCATGACAGAGCTAAGTCATGGGAAAACAACACTCTCTAGTAGAAAGCTATGACTAACCTGCAGCTCAGTCTAGCTCTTGGTAGGTTAAAACAGGAACTACAGTCTTGTACCAGTTGGAGCAGAGTCCCAGAAGACATGAGCTTCATGGCAACTATTCCATCTAGCCCTGTAAGCAATATCACATTGCTAAAAATGGGGCACTGGGTGGCTTTAAGGTCTAATTACAGATAGGTATGCTTAGGATCTCAGATTTAGTGTGTTAATGTCAAAACCTATAGAAGAAGCAGGTTAATTTTACTGTCTACTTTTTTATCTGAGCACAGTAGAATCTGTCCATTGTAATTTCATCCATAATACAATTCCTAATTAATTATCGATGCAATTGTATATATTTCCAGATAAGCCATGTTTTCTCAATTTCCTGTGTCCAAGGATTCCCCTCAGGCCCTACATTGCTCAGTGACTCCCCTGACTGATCCCACACTGCCATTTAACCAAATTGGTGACTGTCTAGATCATTCTGACTTCAGGCCACTGCATGTGCCCTATGGGGTTGTGAACAGCAGCTGCTTCTATACAGTACAGAAATATTTGGGCCCAGAAACAGTGCTGGTCAAGGTTTTTAATATATTTTTGCTTCTCTGCTATTCTTCCTCAGTTGTATTCTACCTGGTTGCTGAAAGTTATCTCCCAAATCACACACATGTTCCTCAGACTCTGAAGCTAAAATATTTAAATATCAGCCTTGTAAATGTGGCCTTTTCAGAAATGTGTTGCCAGTAGAACCATACTTAACAAAGGGAAACCATTTGTTCTTAAAATGATTTAAGTAATAATAATGAAAAAAGCACTGGAAAAACCAACCATGTTTATCTTATGAAGGTAGGGCTGCCAATTCCCCCCGGGGGGCGGGGAAAACCCCACCCCAGAGGCCCGTTCCCTGCCGCTGGCGGATCGGGGCCCCAGGGGGAACCCCGCCCCAACGTGTACGCCACTTGGAAGTGACGTTAGGACGCCGAGCATGCTGGGGGCAGGGCCATGACCATCGGAGGGAAAACTCTATGGTCCAGCGTGCCCGGCGTCCTAACGTCACTTCCGGGTGATGTGTGCGCGCGCTCCAGTCGCCGTCCGGGAGTCCCCCGCTGCGGCGACTGCAACGACTTGGCAACCCTATATGAAGGAGAATTCCTTAGGCTGCGATCACACGCACCTTTAGATCTGACATGGGTGCGAATGCCTGATGGATCTAAAGGGAGCGATCAGGCAGCAACATCTGGGAAGCATCCCGCAGTTGTCGGCAACCTGTGCTGCTCCGCCGCAGAAGCAGAGTTAAAAGACACTGGGGAAAGTCCGACTCTAACAGGTTCCGATGGGCCACGAACAGACTTTCCCCTGTCTGATCATGCAAGCATGCTCTCCTGCTGTCGGGATGATCTGATCATGCCATCCCGGCTCGGGGCTGTTCCCCCCCCCCCGCCGCGCAGAATGTGCATCATCGCATATTCCATAGGGGGCCCTGAGTGCGGAGGTGTGATTCCTCATTTATGCACATGGGAAACAAATGGCAAAAAAAATTGACTCAGCTGCGTCTGATCACACAGTGACGGGCTGCACCTGCAGCTACAAAGGGAGGTGTGATCTTGCAACAATATGTCAAATTCCTCTGGAGGAAATAGCCTCGCTTCCCCTCCACTTCAACTGGAGTGTGTGACCACAGCTTTAGAGTGGCTGCTGTGGGTCTTCTCTAAATAGATTGGAAGGGGACGTATTCCCTGGCAGAAAGCCTTGATGAAAAACAGAAGGCCACATGCTGCTGAGCTTAGAAGTGATTTTCTTCTTTGGTGGAAACTGTAGAGTCAGTATATTCTTTGGCCTATCAGAATTTAAGAAGAGCGACTTATTCGTAGAATCCTTCAAAAGTAGGACCTCTTTTGATAAGTGTGTCCTATATTATTTATGGATTTGGAAATTGTAACTCATGTTGCTTAAATTCTATGTGGATCTAAATGCCTGAATTGTAAGGGGGTCAATTGGCAAGTCAGGTTCATAAATTTGTGACTTACATACTTCCTAAATTTTTGAGATATTTTTGTGCTTCAGAAAAGTCTCTTCTGTTTTGAGAAGGAAACATTATCAATCAGAATCCTTTGAAAGAAGGGAATCATATTGCACACATGGCAACCTTTTATGGCACTGATAATTTTGTCGGTGCTACGTGCAAGGCTTTTTAAAAAAAACAACGATTGTGATCCAGGCGGCACATCATGGTGTCTTTTAAACATTTAAAAGGAGCAGAATTCTCTTGCAGTCAATGGGTTATGAAGTTTCTCCGTGAGATTTTAGTTTTTAGGGATGGGTCTAAAAGAAATTCTGTGCCCACTAAAAATAGTACCAGATTTAGCAGTCCAGGTTTTCAATGTGTCTGAGGAAGTGTGCATGCACACGAAAGCTCACACCTTGAATAAAACTCTTTTGGTCTTAAAGGTGCCACTGGACTCAGACTTTGTTCTCAGGTTTCTGCAGAGATCCTCCTGAAACAGACTCCCTTACATAATGAAGGTTGGTAGCTATAGGGTCACATTTAAGCCTCACTGTGCATTCACACCACTCTGACCTTCAATGTGGAGATCAAGTTGGACTGAGGAATCTTTTCCATAAGAGGTTTTGTATAATAGAATTAGGGTTTTTTTAGAGTACACCAAAAAATGTTGGGAGTGGAACCCAGCAGTTCTAGCTCACCTTATATATTGTGAGTTTGCACTCGAACATGTGAATCCTCTTCAAATTGTCAGTTCTCAGTTTTATTAACACCTGACTCCTTTGCACTTCTCTAATTCAGGGTGATATCCAAAGGTCAATAATCCGTGTGGACTTTGGAGATGGCAGTGCCGTGTCATACGCCAATATCAGCTCTACAGAAGATGGGATCAAGCATGTCTACCAGAATGTGGGGATTTTCCGAGTGACAGCGCAGGTGGAAAACAGCCTGGGGGCAGACAGTGCTGTCCTGTACTTGCATGTAAATTGTATGTTATTACTATTGGTATACAAAATATTTTAAAGACACATTTTTCTTTCTTGTGGTGAACCTTTTTTGCTTTAAAGAAAAGCTGGTGGCAGCAGAAGGAGCTTGATATTTATCTTAAAGTTATTATAAGAGAGAAGTGAATGCTAAAGGAAGTAATCGATTAATTATCATATGGTGTGTGTGTGGAATAGCCAGGAGATCCTTGAAGGGTCTGTTTGGCTGCCAAAGCTGTACCTCTTTTTGGCACCACTAGGTAGCAATCTATGCTTATTTTTAGGCTGAGAGTGTTATGACTTGCCTAAGGTCACCCAGCTAGCTTCAAGTGGGGAAAGTGGGGAATCGAACCTGGTTCTCCAGATTAGAGTCCACTGCTCTTAACCACTACACCAAACTGGCTGTTGCTAAAGGAAGTATCTTTGGATTATGGTGCCTCCATTTTGGTGACTCATAAGGACAGAATAACTGGAAAGGAGAGCATCTACATTCATTGATGTGGTTACCACTCAGCTAATTACTGTAAGAACTGGAAAAAGAGGACTTTCCAGCCATAATGCTGTTGAGATTGGAATGCACAAGTGAGATCAAAACTGGTAGGGTCAGTCATGAGCCCTGAAATCAATGTCTTAATGTGCATGGCAGAAGTATGAAACTAGCTGGAAAGTTTATATAAGCATTGTGGAGGCTGCTGGCTGACTCCCACACAGCTTTGTCATGTATGTTTTAGATGTAGCAGGGCACAAGAAGGAGACTCAGGTTTGTGTTGTTCTCTACCACCCCCACCCCACTAATACACTTCACAAAGAACGGAGATCCAGGCTGGTAGCCGTGTTGGTCTGAAGCAGTAGAACAAAGTTTGAGTCCAGCGGCACTTTTCAGACCAACAAAGTTTTATTCAAGGTGTGAGCTTTCGTGTGCAGGCACACTTCCTCAGACTTTGCCCGAGGAAGTGTGCCTGCACACGAAAGTTCACACCTTGAATAAAACTTCGTTGGTCTTAAAGATGCCACTGGACGCAAACTTTGTTCTTTTGCAAAGAACTGTTAGTGTTAAATGAGATTTACATGTATATATGTTTTCCAACTCTGGTTTGGGGAGATTCTTAAACATTTGGGGTGGTACCTGGGGAGGGTGGAGTTTGGGGATGAGAGGGAGCTCAGCTGGGATGGGAGGCCATAATCTGACTTCCAAAGCTGCCTTTTCCTCCAGGGGAACTATTCTCTGTAGTCTGGAGATCAGTTGTAATTCTGGAGGAAATCCAAACCCTACCTCAAATTTGGTGATCCTACATGTATGCCGTTTTATGCACTGAGGCCCTGTGTGTGTGTTGTTGTTGTTTTTGGCAATGGACAGAATTATGAGCACAATGGACTGCTTACACCCAAAATGGTCTAACCAACAACGCTAAGCATTCTGAGTATTCAACATTTTTAAAAAGTTTTTGTTTAAAGTTTATTGATTGGTTGATATTATTTGTGCACTGCCTTTCTCACTGAGTACCTGAGGGACGGTGTCCTTAGTTAGTGATTGATTTATGATGGACACCAAGGACTTGTTGATGTGGTCCTTACATGGTTTTAGCAGCCTGCCATTGAAAGCTCCTAAGGTGGAAGAAAGTAAAATGTTTTAAGATATTAGATGCTGTAAATTTATAGATACTGTCATGATGCCAACCATCCCATTGCGCTCTGGAAGAAAATTGACAAGATTTTGTCAAGCAGCAGGTAGTTGCCCTCCCTGCCTCTTATCTCTTCCCATCTTCATGGAAAAGCTAACAGAGCAAAAGCCAGCCCTTGTTTGTAAAGGTCACTGCAAACAAACGGAGTGAATTCTCTGGTAATATCTTTAGAGAGGCTCTGAAGGTCTCTGATAATATAAGGCCAAGCTGTCTGTGGCAATTCTGACAGAAGAAGATCCCACAGAGCCCCATCTTCATTGTGCTCGACTCTGTTTGCAAGCTAATGAGACCACTTGATGGAATAGCTGTTTGCTTACAAGCCACAAAGGAAGAGTCCTTGCCTGGGTCATTCGCTTCTTGTAATGGCTTTTCCCACCAGATAATTTTATCAGTGCAGGTCAACATTGGAACAAAATGCAAAACAGCAAATTGTTACTAATATTCTCAAGGAGATGGCATGCCTCACAGCTGTTGATGTGTCCTTTACAGATTATGGGACCTATTTCATTAGAATCCTTAGAACTGGGGGAATCACACTAAAGTGGGGGCTGAAAGGTGAAGATGTGGTTGCTGTAGGTGTTTGATTACTGTATTTATAGACTGTCTTGCTGAGACTCAAATTGGTTGAGCTTTGAGTTTCACTATGAGCATGTTAGTCAGAAGATCAGTTCACTTGGCTGATTTAGTGGATCTTCCTAAACAGCTCATGCTACAGAGGCTGCCAGTGTATGCATGATCAATAAGGATACATTTGGTTTCTTAATTTGGTTTCTTTATATTTAAATTCAATTCATTTCCCATTTCTAGCAGTTTCTAAGGAAAGACATTGCCAGTCGTAACCACCCCCTCCTTCTAACGGGGATAGAATTCTCATAGGTAGTAAACTTTCTCCAGTATATCCTTCCTGCCAAGCAGGCAATGGGCAGAGCAGTGGCTTGCTTTTGGCTATTCAGTTAACAAGTAGAATGACAACTGTGCACAAATAATATGTATCATGTCTATATATCTAATACCAACTATGCCCCAGTCTGCAGATACCTAAACCCACAGATCAGAGTCACTTACACAGAAGTAAGATTTTTCAGAAACTTGGGGGACACCCCAGGCTTGCAAAAAAGAAAAGTTAAAACAGGAAAAACGGGGGCAAGGATTTTTTAAAAACACCCAAACACAGGAACTGTTGTCTCTGTAGCTGCAGATAAAGGAAACAGTTCTCAGGAAGAAGCTGTGGCAGGCAAAAGTAATGGCAGCTGATGAAGAACGGAACAGAGGGGAGGCAAGCAAGCAGAGCCTTCCTCAATACCAAATATCCAGAACATTGCACTTTTAAAAAATGCTTTTATTAAAGCTTGGTACTAAAGACCCTGATGCTGGGAAAGATTGAAGGTCAAAGAAGACGGGGGCAGCAAAGGATGAGATGGTTAGACAGTGTCATTGATGCAATGAACATGAAATTGAGCCAACTTCAGAGGACGGTGGAAGACAGGAGGGCCTGGCGGGAGGTGGTCCATGGGGTCGCGAAGAGTCGGACTCGACTGTGCGACTGAACAACAACAACAACTAAAATGAATGAAACTTGTCTAGTGGGACAGACAAGACTTTAGGAGGATTGCACATGCCTCGCATGCAGAAGATCAAGCATGGTGTGTTAAGTTACAAGAATTTCAGGAAGCGGTGATAAGAAAGATCTTGTGCCTGAGATCTTGAATGGATCAAAGATGTCTTAAAATATTCCACCTGTTGTGTATCCAGCAAGACCACGCACGTGGTCACGCCGCACACATGGCCATGCGAAGGGCCCAAGCTTCGCTTCCAAAGACAATAGCCCAAACGGATCCTAGCACGCAACTATTGGACGGCTATGGTCCAAGGAGGGACCTATGAGACTGGGGGACACTGTAAATAGCCTATCATGGTTGTGGGTGTGTGTTTGGGGTTTGGTTTGCTATGTGGATATAAGCCGGCCTTGGGCCAGACTAAGTATCTCAAGTTATCCTATACATAATAAAGTATGAGCTGAAATCACATCTACCTGCATCAGTCTTAGTACTTTATACCACCCACTCTCCTTGGCTACTCTTATTAAATTGCCTCGACTCAAACACTGAGAAAATCCAGAGTGGCAGGCAAATGTGGAAAGGGCCAGAGAGTGAAGGCAGACAGACAGTGGTGGCTGGGAGAAGAAAGGAGGAGGTGGCGGCACTTCTTTTTGTTTGTCCAGTACAAGTGCCTGAGTAGGAGATAGAAGGGTGGCTGGGAGGGTAAGAGAAGTTGCAGCTCACACCCACGGCTGGAGGGAGAGGAGCAGGAATTGTGGCTCACCCTCTGGGGAGGACGATGGCAGTGATCTCTTCAAAACGTCTGGCTGCAGCAGTGAGGGAGGCATACCTCGAAACATGGACTCCTCCCCTCACATAAACAAAGTGACTGTGGTCCCACCCTGACTGTGCCCAAGGAAAATGAGCAAGGCATAATAAATGCGTGTTTACTGTTGTCTGCACAGCCTGTATATAACAAAGGTACACAGGAAGCTGTGGCAGGCGAAGGTAACAGCAGCTGATGGAGAGGGGAAGAGAGGGCCAGCAAGTGAGTGAGCAAGCAGGGCTGAAGGAAAAGAGGAGCTGGATTGCTGGTGCTGCTACCCAGCAGAAATGAAGCTGGATGGGCAGAAAGGCATCAGTGGTGGTCAGAACAAGGAAAAAGCAGCATGGCTTTTTCCTTCCTCTGACAGGGAGAGAAGGCAGAGAAATGGCAGTGTCTTGGAGACCAGAGGGGAAAGGCAGTTGGTAAATGCACATGCTCACTCCAAATCCTCTGGCTGCAAGAGTGAGCAAGACACACTTCAAAACATTTATGCCTCCCCTCACAAAAACAAAATGATTTAGGACTCTAAAGTATGACAAAGCCAGAAACATCACAAAAAAATAGACCCCGCAAATTACAGTACTAATGGAAAACTGCCGCAACAGAATCTGCAACATTTTGTTGTGGGCCCCACATGTATATTCTGATACCCAAGTCAGCCAAATCTGAGGCCCCGGTCACACGGGAGGTTTAGGGCCGGAAGAATGGATGGATCGGGGACGCAGCAAACGGGAGCGATCCCACAGCAACATCTGGAAAGCGTTGCGCACCCGTCCCCGATCCAGCCCTTCAGGCCGAAAATCCGTAGTTAAAAGAAACCACCTACAGAGGTGGACTTACCAGAAAGGCCACACCAAGCGCGGCCATGGGATCGCCGGTGCGTCCTTCTGCTGGTGCATCTGAGGCTCCTGGCCAAACTGCGCATGCGCACACATGCGCAGCCGGCTGTCTCGGTCTCC